AAAATTAAAAAACAAAAAAGTTATAATTTTTTTCATTTATTTTTCCGATTGTTCCTATGGGAGCTATATGCTATAGTCGTCCGATTTTGATATAATTTAAACCGTAAATCGGAAATATTTTACCATTACTAAATGTCGAAGGGCTAAACAAAAAATTAAAAAACAGAAAAGTTATAATTTTTTTCATTTATTTTTCCGATTGTTCCTATGGGAGCTATATGCTATAGTCGTCCGATTATGATGAAATTTAAACCGTAAATCAGAAATATTTAACCATTACTAAACGTCGAAGAACTAAACAAAAAATTAAAAAACAGCAAAGTTATAATTTTTTTTCATTTATTTTTCCGATTGTTCCTATGGGAGCTATATGCTATAGTCGTCCGATCCGGCTCGTTCCGACTTATATACTACCTGCAATAGAAAGACAACTTTTGGGAAAGTTTCATGCAGATAGCTTTAAAACTGAGAGACTAGTTTGCATATAAACGGACGGACAGACGGACAGACGGACATGGCTAGATCGACTCGCCTAGTGATGCTGATCAAGAATATATATACTTTATAGGGTCGGAGATGTCTCCTTCACTGCGTTGCAAACTTCTGACTGAAATTATAATACCCTCTGCAAGGGTATAAACATAAGTCAACCCAACTCAAGGTTATGTTCAGGGCTATACGCACCGCATCGACAAACGAATTTCAGTCGCTTTTTTTTCGTTGGCAGTCGGATTTTCGGTTAGTGCGTTTACGCATTTTTTCAGCGACTTTATATATATGTTTTTGCTGACATTTTTTTGTGTAGTTTTTGCAGCTGCTAATCAAAATGCTTGGCTGTAGTTTATAAATCCCCAACAAGCTTGCTTTTTTTTTTTTCTGTGGGGTTACGCATTATTTACGCAACTGATTTGTATTTGCAGTGCAAACTATATACAGTGCCTGGCACTAACTATGTAATTATGTACTTATATCGTATGCTATATGTCTATAGCAAGCCCCATTCAATTAGCTTTACAATTAATATGTTCGTTTATAAAGGCAACAGTTAGAATTTCATATGGAGGGGTTAATTACATTTTGAATTCAGACTTTTAATTGGAATGACACAGGGAAAATATGAGAATTCAGGTCTGGCATTCAATTAAAATTCTAATTAACAACATAATACATTTTTTTCAATGGTGCAGTAAGATAAATTCTATCTATATTGATTTTGTACACAAGATATTAAATTTTGTTATAATTTATCTATCGGAAGCTTACAAATTAAGTATACGTATATTTTTAAAAACTGCATAACATCTTCAAGCCCTTAATTTTCTTCAGCCAAAATTGTATTGGTTATATTACTATTTAAATTTACCTATAATTTTGAATTTCCTGGAATTAAACCACAAATTACTAATCCAATTTCAATTTTAACTATCCAAACGCCCAACTAAAAATCATATCTAATGTATTTCCTGTAACTTAACTTCCCAAACACGAACTTTCAACATTTTTTCGATGCTCCAAATATCAATTAAAGTTTACACGCTTAATTACAGTAATTTAAATCTTGTTTACCTGACCCCGCCATTTATTGAATTTTATTAAGCGCCTCCAAAGTCGTGCATAAACCAAGATTGGCTTCCCTTTTCCTCGGTCATAAATCGGGTTCCGAATCATCATGTAATGAAATGCATGAGATCATAAAACTTGGCCAAACAAAAGCTTCAGTTAATCGAATGGCGCATTAAGTAAAATTTTGATATTGATACCAGATACACAAGAAAAAACCAAAAACGACTCACGTGCATTGGACATTCAAACGGTTTTTAAATGGCCCTGCACTGCCAGAGGTCACAAACCGAAACCAAAAACCAAAAAAAATCCATCAAGAGGCCAATCGAATGCCAACCTTGAAAACAGCCGACAGGTTACAAGTTTACGGCTCAATTTAAATATTTTAACAGCTCAGGAAATGGAGGGACGCAGTGCTTGAAAAATCATTGCACGCTACAAATTTTGGTAACAACCAAATATTTTTAAGGCGTACACCAGTCAGGTGTTCAGACTCCCAGATAAATTATGTTAAATATTGTACATTCCTAATTGAAGCTGTCCATTTATAATGTGTTGCAAGTTAAAGGGGAAAAAACGGAATTTAAACGTTCATTCAAATTCATATTTTTGTTGTTAATCTATTAGATTCTTTTTAGCTGTTAGAGATAGTTTAAATAAAAATTATAACTTTGATATAGAACTTAAGAAAATCTAATAAGACGAAAAAAAATGCATATTTGACCTAACAATTTCATCTTCAACAAAATAAATACTTAAGATATTTGATTGGATAAACTATCACTGACTGTTTTTTTTCTATGAACACCAAATCAATAAAACCATTAAAAAATGCTTAGATCGGTATCAGAATTGAGTCTATATCAGTTTCACCTAAAGTTCAATTTGATTATCGTAGCTGTTAGACTATTTTAGCCTTCACCGATACCTTTGTTACACATTTTCTCAACGAAAAGCCATCGAAAATTATAAGATATTGTGTTGATCATTTTTCAACAGCTCTAATCGCGCACAACCAAAAAGATCGTATTTGAAAACGTGTTCGATGCTGAGTGCGGAAATGAGTAGGTCCGAAAAAAAAACACACACACATTTTATTGAAGGGCCTAAGGTCTCCAGCAAATACAACAATAAAATTAATTGATATACGCATTGATAGCAAAGAAACAACAACAACAACACCAAGATGTCGATTGTTTCTCTTGATTTTACTTCGTTGTTGAGGTTCCGATGTGAAGGGCATTTTTATGGGGCTTTTTGGAGAGCGAGAACGAGACAGCGCGATATGGGGGCCCTTAAGAAAAAATAATGCTCGTGTCTGTAATTTTTGAGTGTGTGTGCTGGTGTTCAAGGTCACTCATTTCTAGCTGCGTTTCCAACTGATCTGCGAACAAACAAAAAGGCAACAAGCAAAACTAAGAAAAACTTGCAGTCCAAACATCGATGAAGTCATTTTACAAATATTTTTCATTGCAAGGTCAGTTTCTTAAGAGGGTTTTTGAAGCTCGTTTTTTATAGTCATAGAATTGTTATGGGATAATTAGGTTAAATGGTAATCTTGTTAATGTTCTTAATCGTCTTAAAATCATGGCTTTCAAAATCCTTTAAAAACTAAATTTATTATGTGATTTTAGCTTTAAGAATGTGTAGTTTACCAAATAAAAACAGTGATAACAAATGTTTTAAAAATTTTATATCTTCATTTCTACAAAAAAATGAAACAATTTGTTTCAATAATTATTTATTTATTTATTATATTGTATATTTTTTATATTGAGTGTATAAAAAGTATTAATCGTTTGTTGTCTTACTTTCCAAATATTTTATAGCTACCCTATTTAAGGACTTACAAATGTTCAAGAAACTGTGAATTGTGCCTATATATATAATAAATATTTATATCAAAATAAATACAAATGACAGTGGTTAATTTTGATTTCTTTACAAGGGTTCTAATCTCATCGTTTAACTTTGTATATATTTTTTTTGATTTATATGATTACTACCGCTTGACTGCTGAAAGCTAATCTACAGTGTGTAATTCAGAACCCACCCATTTTGCGACTACATCACGACTGTCAACTGTAAATCAAAATCACATAACTCATGGAGACACTCGGCCCGTAATTAGTGGGTTTGTAATTAAGCTGTAGACAAGAGGGCCAAAAAACAATGCACTTGTTTAGGCCAAGACACGAAGGTCCCGAGCGCTAAAGAAATCCGCCCACGCACATGAAAATAAATATGAGCATATATATATATATATGCGTTCATTTGTCACCATTAAATGTCGTTGTCCAAAGCGGAGCTCAACAAATCAAAGTCAGATATGAAGTAGCCGCAAAAACAGAAGCTCAAAAGTGGGACTCAAAAGAGGGGATAAAATATACGCGGAGACAAAAGGGGAAAAGAAAATCGCGTGCTTGTCACACCTACAAAAATATGCAAAACAAAAGGCAAAAGTGTGAATGTGTAATTAAATTTTATGAAACATTTGTCTGTATGTGTCTAATTCCACCCACATCTTTCCCCCTTACAAAATTTCATGGGTTCCCCTCTTACGCCCCCCGAAAAAAACCTTTTTCAATTCATTCCGCGACTTTTGGCACGCCCGCCCAATGTCTCCTATTACCAGGGAGATATACGATTGCGGGCTGAATAAGAGTGTTTTAATGAGTATCTGTATCTGTATCTGTATCTGAAGGTACGCAAATAAGAGCGTGTTTTCCCCATATGGACGTGCTGCAATTACAGCGCCATTAGTAAATATTTTATTGAGTTATAGAGACAAAATATTCAATATATCTTACTACACTTAGTTTATTAATTAATATTTTATTGAACTATGATATTTTATTGAAATTTTTAACGTTCCATAGAAAATCAATTCAAGTTAATAAATTATTTAGTATATATAATAATAAGCTTAGAAGAATTTATAACAAATTTGTTATTTGATAGGTTTTTAAACTTTATTAAATCAAATTACTAGGGACAAATATATGAGAAAGTAAAAATATCTGACATAATTTTCTTTAAAGTTTATAAAACATGCAAAAGTACGCATACCAACCTAAAATATATAAAAAAAACTCAACTTATACTTTAAACATAGAACATAATCTAAAGTAAAGACAATTCCTTTTCCTTTTTAAACAAAATTATAAGCAATTTTTCTTTGTGACAAATTTTGTGGATATAATCTCACGCACATTTCAAAATAAAAAACTGCCATGCCAAGATCAGACCACCCCATAGACAAATACTATTCACCTTCCACCTCAATTCTGCTCTTACCGCAATATTTTGTCACTTGTGTCTGACTCTTAAGCAGTTCACTAAAAATAAACATTTAAAAATATATACAAAAATATATTGCAAAATTTATAGGCAGGCAAAAAATAACCGAAAAAGCATTAATCAAAAACCAAACTTACCGAAACATTTGACAGCTGTCATTCGAGAGGCGCATTTATGTCTTCTATTTCCTTTTCCAATTTAAAGTGCGTATCTTTTTGTCATGCACCTGACGCACTTTGCACACTGAAGTGGAAACCTAAAAAAATTCCAAACCCGTTGTTAATTAGCTTAAGCGGAAGTGATAAAATATAAGGAAAAAATAAAGAGAACCAGTAGTTGTTTATGTTTTTAAAATATGTACTTAAAATACTTTGTATACTTTCACAACCAAAATTATGTACATTTTTAAGAGTTCAATATATATTTTAAATATATCTTAAAAATTAATCGTTTGTCAAGCATTTAATAAACTCATTTCGTTTATAGATATTTCATTGCATTCTAATTTTCAAAAACTACTGGCTGATAATTCTTATCCGACTATTGACTCATTTCCGGTGCAATATTCGGCAAATCCAGATCCATCGAAATATGCTTCTACACCACATATAACATATGTTGAGATAAACCACTCAGATGTGTATATATATTTATCTTGACTATAGCTTTTGGAGCACCCCGCTGCGTTCCATTATCAAAAAAAAAAAATACAGCAAAAACGAAGCAGACGCGGATCATGGATCACACGCACTATGGCCTCGGGTTCCTCATAGAACAACATTCAAGGTTAGCGGGTTACTGACTTTGAAAATGCGATAGAGGCAATTTCATTCTCTTTTTTATACGTTTTTATACGTTTTTATTTGAATTTTTGTTTTTTGTTGCTGCCTTATGTCAGCAGCAGCCGAAATAACAACAATTTAATTGAGTCTTTTCGCATTTTCGATTCTTCAGCCGCAGTGCGTGTAGAACTGGCAAAAGAAATAAAAGCAACGAAATGTCATAGAGCAGAAAGATATGGTGACTGAGAGAGAATCGAGCAAAATGAAGGGAAACTACCAACAAGAGTATGTTCTTCAGAGTGTAGTGCTCGAATTTTAAGTACCATAGATATAATTTCCTTCAAAGAAAACTATATGATGTACATATCTATATATTATAAATTAATTTTTAAAGATATGAAATATTTTAAGTACAAATGGTAGGTAAAAATGGATGCAATATAAATAAGAAATTGATTTGTAAGGATATGAAATATTTTAAGTACAAATAGTAGGTAAAAATGGAAGCAATATGAATAAGAAATATGCCCTATATGTTCAGTAAGTACAGGGTACTCAAACTGAGGCACAAATAATAATGACAGGTAGTTTGCCTATGAGTTTCTGTAAAAGTGTGTGGGTTTGGGACGCTGCAGGTAGCGGCAGTTGTTGTTTACTGGAATAATTCTCATTGCTCTGCCTTCACACGCACTTTCGTAAACAACTTTTGGAGCCAGATTTTAGGTATTGCCTTTTTTGTTTAGTGCAAAATGGTTGCCGAGTTCTAAACTCTATGTATATGTGCAAGGGAATGAATTAAGAAGGGGGAACTATTATTTCTTTTTTTGTTGCTGGGCATCATGTGACGGTGATGAATGCGTGCCGACCAAAATGAATCGGAGTGAGCTCATTTTTAAAACAAATTGCGATGCTCTATGCGTTTAATGCCAACAGATGAAATTTATAAGGCAATTGTTCTAGGAAATATGGTGTGAATTTAAAAAAAAACTACTTGAAATAAATTATATTAAAAAGCAATAAAAGAAAACTACTTGAAATAAATTATATTAAAAAGCAATAAAAGAAAATGTTTTATTAACCAGCTACTTAGCTTAAGCATTAATAAAAGAAAACTATTGTTATACATGTCGTATGAGTGATTACACAGATTGAATAGCAGGAAAATCACGCATACGTCCTAAGTGTATGGATATAAATAATTCAAATATATAAAGTGGATATATAAAACATTAAATTAATCTAAGAATAAAAATAAAATATTCTTACTTGTTTTAGTTATATCTGTTCTTCAAGAGTTGAAACACTAACATTATTTGTACAAGTGCGTGCAAATCGATACAAAATAAAGGGCTTCCTGGAAAATTACTCATACGCCGCGTTGGCTGCACACACAAATTAGCGAAATAAAATAGAAAATAACAAACCACTTGTCCAAATGTCAAGCGTTGACTGCTTCGAAAGCCACCGAAATTCTCGCCACGAGGTTATTGCACTTTCTAATGCTCGAAAGAAACACAACAACTATAAAGCATAGAACAATCAGGAAAAAAATGGCAAAAAAAGAGGAGAAAAGTCAGTAGGCGACGTAGCGCAATTAAGCGCGGCAAAAGAGCTGCCCCTGTATTGGTGCAAAATGTATGAAAAAAATTCCACCCATGATCAGCATAAATACGCAACACGCGCACGCACACACATACGCACGCGTTTGGAAAAACACAAAATAAATAAGTAAAAGCAGCAAAAGCGCAACGAGAAACGCACAAAAGTCGAACCGAAGTTCTGTTCTTTTTTTTACGAACGCCTTCGGCTATTTTCTGGATTTTGTGTGTGTGAGTGAGTAGTTTGTTTTTATAAATTTGATGATGCAATACACGCATTTCGACGACGCCACGAAGCCAGCAACAAAGTTCGCAGTACAGTGGAGCTCAGTTAAGAAGGGCAACATTTTTTCTAACAACTTATTATTATCATTTAATGTACAGAAACTTGTTAGTTTTTAATTAAAGTCATATGGATATATATCTTTAAATGTTTGGTCTATTTATTTGATTTGTCTTTTAATTAAAATGTTTTAATTTATTATGACTGAGACATAAAATAATAAATCATTACCAAAGAAAATATGAAAAAAACTGATTTCACATATCTATTAATATATTGGTAAAGTAAAATATACAATTTTAGTTTTGAATCATTTGGTTTGGTAATCTACTAGTTAATCTTACACATTCTTTACTATGTCTAACTTCTTTTTCAGCTTTGTCCGTTCTTCATTTTTTTTATTGCTTATATATTTCTTTTGTTTTTCCTGCCTTCTTAACACGCACTCTGCACTTTGGTTTCAGAGACTTTTGTTTTTTTGTTTTCGAAATTCTAATTCGCAGCGAAATATGTGGGATTGGGTTTACCATTTGTGGGAGCGATGTGAAAAATTAGGGGTGTGGGGGGTGTAAAAAAACATTTCAGGGGACTGGTTAGCATGAATAATAGCCGCGATGGGCCACAAACGCACTAGAAACGATGGCGATTCATCAAAGTCCGAGTCGAACAAGTTTTTTGCATTTGAAAGATTGACAATAAAATTAAGAAACTATAAAGGGAAGGAGATGAATTTGGTTAGAAGATAGATAACTGCCGAGAAACTCAGGAAAAAACAAGAAAGAAAGCAAACTTCGGCAAGCCGAAGTTCATATACCCTTGCAGCTATCGCAAGAATTAAATATTTTTGAAAACATTAAAATTATGATTTACTTGCGTATATGTTTAAAAACATTGAAGCTATGACGATTTGCAGCTTAATTATTTGATTGTTCTTTTATATATTTTTATTATTTGTATGGGAGCTATATGCTATAGTCGTCCGATTTTGATGAAATTTAAACCATAATTCTGAAATATTTAACCATTACTATATGTCGAAGAACTAAAAAAAAATTAAAAAACAGCAAAGTTATAATTTTTTTCAATTATTTTTCCGATTGTTCCTATGGGAGCTATATGCTATAGTCGTCCGATTTTGATGAAATTTTAACCATAATTCTGAAATATTTAACCATTGCTATATGTCGAAGAACTAAACAAAAAATTAAAAAACAGCAAAGTTATAATTTTTTTTCAATTATTTTTCCGATTGTTCCTATGGGAGCTATATGCTATAGTCGTCCGATTTTGATGAAATTTTAACCATAATTCTGAAATATTTAACCATTGCTTTATGTCGAAGAACAAAGCAAAAAATTAAAAAACAGCAAAGTTATAATTTTTTTTCAATTATTTTTCCGATTGTTCCTATGGGAGCTATATGCTATAGTCGTCCGATCCGGCTCGTTCCGACTTATATACTACCTGCAATAGAAAGACAACTTTTGGGAAAGTTTCATGCAGATAGCTTTAAAACTGAGAGACTAGTTTGCATATAAACGGACGGACAGACGGACAGACGGACAGACGGACAGACGGACGGACAGACGGACGGACAGACGGACATGGCTAGATCGACTCTACTAGTGATGCTGATCAAGAATATATATACTTTATAGGGTCGGAAACGTCTCCTTCACTGCGTTGCAAACTTCTGACTGAAATTATAATACCCTCTGCAAGGGTATAAAAAACAATGAATATAAAATATATATGGCATATAGAATATATAATCCACATATCAGAACGTTTTATCATATTAATAAGAAATAATTCCATTCATATTTTTAAATTCAATAATCTGTTTGAATTCAAATGTTCTCCAGTTTCTCTCCAAAGTATTCCCAAAACATAGAACTTTTTTATTAAGCTTGTGGATCGAAAAATGATTTAATGCCTGACAAGATCCCCCCATGACCTTGAATAACCATAGAGTCCCCCCCAAAAATGTTATGTTGAGGTAGCAAATAGAAAGAAAGAGTGTGATAAAAAGGGGGAAAAAGGGGGAGGGGGAGAAAGAGAATGTATAAGAAATAGAAAACAACTTTTACTCGGGTTCTTTGTTATGATTAGCCATTCGCGGCGTACGCACATAAATTCTAATTTTACTTTTCGCACGCACACAAAAAACATCGAAAGTATAAAAAAGATCTATAGGTAAGTATGTTTATTTCCAGGCTAAACGTGTATTTAATTTGATTTTTTATGACCTCTTTTCTGGCCTATGAAAAATGAAAACTAAAACAATACTATCACTTTTCATTGATTTATGCCTACATTTATTTTACATTTATTAACAGATTTATAAGCAACTAATTTTAATTGTAGTTTTTTATATGTGTTCTATAATTGTATCTCTTTTCCCCCTATTAGTTTAAATTTATTGTCTCCCACGCTTGTGTCAAAATATTAATTTATGTTGATCATTGTTAATGCTGTGTCAGCAGTCATTGCACTCTGCTCAAAAGCAACGCCAAAAAAGGCAATAATAAATCGGCGCTGAAAAAAAAGATAATACTCAAAGCGAAATTTCGCGAAAGCAGAGGCAAAAAAT